ACACACACACACACACACACACAAATCCAAGTAGCCAGGTGTGATGACTCATGTCTATAATCCTAGCACTTGGAGGGGGGGGGCTGAGGCAGGTGGATTGCCACAAGTTCAAGGTCAGCCTGGACTAACTATACAATAAGACTTTTTCCCCCCAAAAACCCCAACAAACAAACAAAAAAATCACCATCATCCAGTGAAGTTAAAATAAACGCTTTAGTAAGAGTCAAGTTTTTTCTCTGTCCACACATTATAGATTGAATAAGTATTTACAAACTGTCTTTCTAAAACAAAATGCAAAAAATAATGTATTTATTTATACCTGATGCTTTTCACTTAATATTTTCCCATTAAATTTTTTGCTGAATATAAAACATTTCTTTTATTAGTCATGAAAATGAACAATTTTGGACAGGGAGATGGCTCAGTAGAATAAGCGCTTCCCTGGCAAGCACAAGGGCCTGAGTTCAATCCCTGGTTCCGCCAAAAAGAAAAATAAAGAAAGAAAGAAAAGGGGCTGGTGAGATGGTTCAGTGGTCTAAAGCACCTACTTAGAGCTAAGCAAAGCACAGGGACCGCGGTTCAATCCCCCAGCACCACATGCCAGCCAGCCCCGCCCCCTGGTGGGCTGAGCTGGCCACACACACACACACACACACACACACAAACATAATAAAATTTTTTAAAAAAAGAAAGAAAATGAACAACTTTGTAAGTATATTATGTGGATTTCCCATAATTATCTAGTCAATTCCATGTTAGCTTTTAAAGTTGTCTTTAGTTTCATGACAGTTATATCATGCTGAGCATCTTTCTGCATTCAGCTTTTACCTATTTCGAATTATATCTTTTAGAAAATAACTGCAAAAACTACCAGGAGAAGAATCACAAAGTAAAAAGGTGTGTGATGCTACACACTTGTTATCCCAGGTACTTGAGACACTGAGGTAGGATGATCACAAAATTCAAGGCCAACCTGAACAACTTAGTGAGACCCTATCGCAAAATAAGATTAGAAAGAGCTGGGGATGTAGCTTAGTGGCCAAGCACTTCCCTACCATGTGCAAGGTCCTGGGCTTGATCCCCAGCAGCACACAAAACAAGGCATCTTGTTTCTCTGATACTAGCAAGGCTAAAGCTGTTCTGCATTTGTTGTCCAGGTCTACTTCCTCATCTCTGGATGGTCAGTTCACCCTTCAGCACCTTTCTACGGGGCTTTAGAGGGGTTCATAGTTGTTAGAAAAATTGTTTAACGAAAAGCACTCCCATTACACCTGCTCTAAGTATTTTCTCAGCCCATCCGTCACCAGCCTTTTAATTTTGGTTATTCCCATCTTACACACTTGTTTCCTGGCCTCTGGTCCCATCATGCTACTGAAACTTTTCTTTTTTTTTTTTTTGCAGAACCAGGGATTGAACTCAGGTCCTTTCGCTTGCTAGGCAAGTGCTTATTCCATTGAGCTATCTCCCTGGCCCCAACTGAAATTTTTCTTCTCAAGAGAGAGTAGCATAAAATATACTTTTTTTTTTTTTTGCGGAACCGGGGATTGAACTCAGGCCCTTGTGTTTACCAGGCAAGTGCTTATTCCATTGAGTCATCTCCCCAGCCCCCAAAACATACTTCTTGAGCACATATCAGGGTCAGATATACACACAGGGCTGCCATCTCCCCTTCTGAAGCAATTCATCTAATGGTTCTGTCTACCCAGCTTTCCCCTCAGTGCTCCTGTAGGATCTGACACTGCTACACATCTGTGCTCTCCCATCTCTGTCTTTCCCACTTCCTTTGCTGATACTGCTTCATTGAGCACCCCAGCTAACCCCCAAATTTTCTTTTCTTTTCTTTTTTTTTTTTTTGGCAGAACCAGGGATTGAACTCAGGCTCTTGCGCTCACCAGGGAAGCACTTATTCCACTGAACCATATTCCAGGCCCCCTTTTTTAAAAAATAGGGTCTTCCTATGTAGTTCATGCTGGCCTTGAACTCATGGTGAGCCTCTATCTCAGCCTCCCAAGTGCTGGGACTGCAGGTGTGCCTCACCATGCCTGGCCTACCAAATTCTGTTTTTAATAGACTCTTGTTTATTTTGAGATAGGGTCTCACTCTGCAGTTCAGGCTGGCCTCAAACTCGCAGTGATCCTCCTGTCTCAGCCTCCCAAGTACTGTGATTATAGGCACCATCATACCCACCCAGTTTGCTTTCTGAGACAGAACCTATGTAGCCTACGCTGGCCTTGAACCCATCATAATCTTTTTCCTTCAGTCTCCCAAGTGCTAAGATCATACGTGTGGCCAACACAGCCCACTTTACCAGACTATTAAACACTTCAGATGTTTTAGACTCATATAAAGAAGGCAGAGTATTAAAATGTACTGCTTCGTAAATTTTCTCCCATTCAAGGCCTTTAGAATCTGAATTCCAGACCATATCTTGGAATCTGTATAGTTTTAGTTAGTTCCTTTTTATTTTGATGGGGGGGCGAGGCACCAGGAATCAAACTCATGACCTCATGCTTACCAGACAGGTGCTTCACCACTGAGCTAAATCCCCAACCCATTTAGGCTAGTCTCAAGTCAGTTGCATTAGACATTCCTCTCTGGTACCAGCACCTAGATATGTGCTAGAAATGTCTCTTAGTGCCTTTTTTGGCAATGTGAGAATCAAACCCAAGGCCTCACATATACTAGGCAAGTGCTCTACCTCTGTACATCCCCAGCCTTACCAAGCTGTATTCTGGATAGCCTTCTACCATACATCCCATGTTTCAGGCAGGCAGAGAACATTACTATGAGAATTCATAAAAATGTTTTGTTTGCAGGTTACAGAATACAATGCCACTTTAAGTATTTAATTGAAAGGCACTTCTGCCCTGCCCTCACCTCCATTTCATACCCTAGAGCAACCCCCGAATTGCTTGCAATCAGCAGTGCCCTCAGCTTACCCCAGGGACCTCTCCTGCACAGGAAGCCTGGCCTGAACCTCCCACAGAGGGCTGGGAGCCAGCTACCAGTTGGCTCCGCTGACTCCCGGTGTGCACGTCTGCCTAAGCCCAGGAGGAAGCTCTGCCCCTCTACCGCCTCCTCTGGGAGCCCCTCAGAACTGTGTGAGCTGCTAGCCTTCGACAGTAGTTCACACACCTTAAAGACCGACTTGTTAATTTCCTCCTGAGGTAGAAATAACCAAAATCTCTCTTCAATGAAACTGGCCCCACTTCCTAACTTGGCCCAGAGCCAGGCGCCTCTCGGCTCCCCTCTATGTGAGCAGGCGTGCGAGGAGTCCAAGCTGCCCTCACAGGCAGGTCACAGGCAGGCATGCAGAGAAGGACAGAGGAAGGGCAGGGAGGGAACAGGCACATGTGTGCACCTAAGCTGCGGGCCCAACATCCTGGGGACAGGCCCCGCTCAAGCTTTTGCTGGAGAGTTCCAGGTGTGGATAATCTCCTGATTTAAGTTCTCTGGTGTAATGTACAGGCTTCCCAGCAGTGTGAGTGTCCCAGTGCCAGCACCCCTCTGCATCGAAGGCGTCTGCTCACATCTTGGGCCTGTGAGAACCTCTCCTGAGCTCTCTTTATGTTAGCCCTGCAGCCCCTCCAGGCAGGGCTTCCTGATGGTCCCTTCAGGCCCCTGGTTCTTGCTTTTGTCTGAGTCCCCCGCAAAAGGGCTCTCCCTCCAGATGGGAACAAGCCATAATACACCACGTCCCTTGCCTTTTTCTGAGTTTCCTGTCTTCTAGAAAGCTGAAGACACTTTCACTTGGTGGTGTCTACCTGGATTCTGGAAGTGTTTTACAGGTGAAGAAAACACCCCAAAGACAGTGGCTTCAGGTTCTAGTCCTGTACCCTGCCACAGTCACCCAGGCAAACTTTACTTTTATTCGATTAAAGGGGTGAGATTTTTTTTTAAAAAAAGGGAGTCAGGCGTGGTGGCACACACTTGTAATCCCAGCACTAGGGAGGCTGAGGCAGGAAGATGATCTGAGTTCAAGGCCAGCCTGAAGTACATATTGAGACCCTATCTCAAAAAAGATAAAAATGAGATAGGATAAGAGAGAGAGAGAGAGAGAGAGAGAGAGAGAGAGAGAGAGAGAGAGACATTGAGAGAGAAAGATTGAGAATACAAACAGATTAACCAAATGGCCCAAAATCCAAGAGAGTCACCCTGGAGATGAGACTCATGTGTAGAAGTCACGTTCAGAATTAGCTCAGGTAATCTAATGTGATAGCTTCCCCTGTGTCTTCACCAGGGCCAGGAGACACCTCTTCTCCTTTCTCAGGCCAGTGGAACCTGCTGCTCCAAGCACAGAGCCTTATGATGTAAAGCAGCATAGCAAGGACAGGAAGCTTCCCAGGGCAAGGAGGGCAAGGTGCCTAGAACTCCCTCAAGTAACTACTGGGAGAAATTGGGCAGTCTCTGGGCAGGGCGCTGGAGAGACACCTACCTTGACACCACCATCCGACTTCTTGTTTAGTAGGCTTTTGGCAGCTGTGAAAACAAAGAAGAAAGTCAGGTCTTCTGCATAGTACCGGCTCCCCAACCTGAAATCTGGAAGCCGGATCTGCAAGAGACTGCTGTGTCTGACAAGGGCCACAAGGCCCTTCCTAGGAGCTCCGCAGGAAGGGCCTCTAGAGCACATCAGGACCCTCCAGGCAGCACCCTAGGACCTCCTCTGCAGCGGAAGGAGGATCGGTGGACACAGACACCCTGTGCTTGGAGGAGAAACAGCATTCAGTACTGGAGCTGCCTGGGGCCCAGGACAAAAACCGGGGGCTCCATCCCTAGATGCCAGAGTTCTCTGGATGGCCACACTGGTAGGATGCAAGACATCTCCGGAGTGCTCTCAAGAGACAGTGCCACAGTTCACGAAGGAGAACAGACATGAGGACAGACACACAGAAACCAGGACCACCTACAGGAGGGTGTGGCCAGGGGATGAAGCCTTCACCAGGCAGGACCTCACCAGGTTTGGCTGGGTCCTAGCTGTAACCCTTTACCAATACTCTCTGGAACCTTGAGCAAGGACTTGGCAGAATAATCTGCTGTCCAACAGGTTCTAGCCAGCCAGAGTGAAGCTCAAGGCTCATGAGCTTTGCACCATAAGGCTGCTAATACCAGACGGCCCAAAGGCCCCAGCAAGGCAGCAGACAGTGCTGGGTGAACCCTGGGAGGCACAGGGAGATGGGATTGGGCCCAACAGTCTGATCCACCTAGACGGCCCTGGTTTATATCCTGCTTCCTCCACTTGATTGATAGCTTTGTGACCCCAGGGGAGTTACTCAGCCTCTTTGAGTCTCAGTTTATTCTTTACTCTCCTAGATGGAGTAAAACAGGATGGAGATCACAGAATACTAGTGGGGAGCCAACAGAACAAAACTTGAAAGGCACTCAGCTGACTGCTGAGCAAACGAAATTACGCATTCACCACTGTTGTTGTCACTATTGCCACCACCCTTCTGTCCTTCAGGTGGTTGTATTCCAACTTTTTCTAGTGAGAATAGGGGTCCTTCTATCACAAGATTCTGGTTCTAAAAAAATGGCCTTTGTTCCTACCTCTTAGTCATGCTGGATTTGAAAATGGCTTAAAAAAACACACACCAAAAAACTTGTTTAATTGTAAGCCTGACCAAAAGACTGGTTAAAGGTTTTATAAATGTCAGCCAGTTTTCAACTCTGGTTGCCCACCAGCATTACCTGGGGAACTTTTAAAAAATACCTGTGCCTGTCCCACCGACTCAGACCTCTGATTTCATCAGTCTGATACAGGGTCCCACACGGGGGTGGGCTCTGAGTTCCCAGGTTTAGGCAGGGAGCCATGCTCCTACCATTCCTGGTCACAGGTATTACCAGGCTGTTTGTCCTCCCCATTGTAGATAAGAAAATTAAGGCTGGAACCGACCAGGCTTGCTCAGGGTGTGGCAAGGCTAGGACCCAAACCCAGGGATCTGATACTGAGGCTGCTACCCCCTACAGCCTTTCAGACCTGGAGACCTGCAAACACCAGACTTCACAATTTTGAAGGGCCTGACTTTCACTGGGGTGTCTTCAACAGTGTACTGATTAGTCCTAGCAGTGGGTGGCTCTGATGGCCACGCCCAGGGCTCATGGAAGGTCAGGCCCTCGGCCACTGAGAGTAAAGGCTCTACTGCCTAGCTCCATGTCCCCAGGCTGTTGCCTCCTGACAGTTGGCAAGCGCCCAGCATGCACGGCTGGTTAGAGGGCTCCATAACACCAATGCGCTCGCAGATGCCAAGTTAGGTGGTCCATATATCATGCCCATCTCAGCCCGCAAGCATAGGACTCGCCTCCCTCGTGAGTGGGCCTGGCATGCTGGCCCTCCTGGTGGGGTGGCAGGGAGCCGAGGCAGGCGGTCGGGGAGGACTCATGCCACATACCTTGCCCGGCCAGGCCGGCGGCGCTCGCGGCAGGCGAGGCGGGGGCGGAGCTCTGCCTGCCAACTGAGGGGATACAGTCTCTCAGTGCACAGAGCCGCCGCAAAGCCACAGGGGCCCATCAGCAGCGAGCAAGCCCCAGCGCGAGGGCCCAGGCGGCGTGGCCAAGCCAGCCGAGCTGGGGGAGCAGGGGCGCCGGGGGCAGGCCGATGGGGCAGGTGCAGCCAGCCCTGCAGCAGTCTGGGGCGTGAGAGGACCAGGCTTGGACAGGACACCGGGAGTATCAAGCCTCCACTCTGTGGAAATGGCTTCAGTGCTTGTCCCATGACCACTGCAGGTGAGGGTCACAGGTAAAGCCTGGCTTGGTGAGAGGCAGGCACCATTTCTGGGTAACTGAGTCACCCATGCTTACGGCTGTGTATGCTGAGCCCCACAGTCAGACTTTCCCTCCCTGGGACCTAAGCAAGCCCACCATCTGGAAGCCTAGACCACAGAGCGGCCCCTCCCTCCCTATGGCCTTGTGCTCTGTAGAGATGCAGGCCTTCTTTCTCAGGGGAGGTGGCCACGAAAGGCACCTGCATTTCATAGTGTGCTGGGGGAGAAGGGGAGGGGATGCCCAAGAAATGAGCTCCCAAAATGAAATCAAAAGCTGCCAAGGTCTTGTGTCCAGGGAGCCCTGACTTTATAACTAACCAAGTTACTGCAGTCTGGGGCTAAGCAGCCCTCCATGTCAGGACTCAACTCAGAAATGGCCTAGCTTGTGCCAAAGGAAAACCAGGTGCCCTTCCTTCTTGGTGATACCTGTAGATAGCACCTTCTGTGGAAGCTTTTGGAAGCAGGCTGTGTCCTCACCTGTCCCAGAGTCAGGGAGAACAGGCTACCTTGGAACGCTAGCAGCAGTTCCTTTTTTCTTTTTGGCCTCCTCTGACCCTGGGCAAAGTGGGCTCAAAGACCAGATGAGGCCTGGGCAACAAGGACAGGAGGCTCTTTAGGGATGAATTAAAGTGTCTTTTCTAGCAGAGAGCCTGATTTCCTGAAACCAGGAGAGCAATTTCCTGAAATGATGGGGGGCAGGGGGCCAGGCCTTGGGATGGGGCACTTTTGATTGGGCAGAAAAAAAGAACCAGGAGTCTGTCTTTACATTTTTTTTTACTGGAAGAGGACAGAGGAGAGATCACTACTCTCAGGGGGCACAGAAAGGTCCTTGAGTATCCTCTAGAAAGGCTCTGAAACCCAGAAAGCAGAGGCTGCAGGTGACTAAGAGCACGACAGGCACAGCACGGGCCCAGAGCTCCAGCTCTGGGGGGCAGTCCACTGCTCACTCCTGCACCCCTCCACGGGGGCAGAATCCGGGGGCTCAAGTGTCCCCTCCTAGGTACCCAGGACAGAATTAACCTCCAAGCCAGGGTCTCAGGGGATGGGCCTGAGGTGGGGCGCTCCCGGGTTCCCTATCCAGTGCTGATGTCTTGAGGCCCGTGGCTCTTGGGCCAGGGCTCGGAAGCCTGAGGCCTTCCTGCCTGTGCCGCTTCGCAGCCAAGGCCCTTGGGTTACCTGGAACAGCACAGCTGAGCCCGGCGTGACTCAAGCTGAAGGGAGCCACCCCTGCCCAGAGTGGCCACCCACTCTGGCCGGTGGCTGGTGTCCCCGCACAAGCCCCTCTCCATGGCGGTGCAGGAGGAAAGCGAGGGAGGGAGTCTGTTAGGAGGAGGAGAAGGGAGTCTTGAACCAAAACAGCGAGGTTAGAGGAAAGGAAGTCGGGGGCTTTGGCAAGCTGGGGTGGTTAAGCCTTGACATTAGTCTTTTTGTCACAGAGGGGCCTCTGTGCTCCCAACTGAGGGCAAACAATGACAAGGGTGCGGGTGAGAGCGGAGGGGTCAAAGGGTAGTGGAGTGTCTTGCATCTTAAAAAGAAATGTCAAGTGTTGATTTACAAATTACTGATTCCCAACTCTCCCAATTCCTTGTGCAAATTTAAGCAAGTTCCTTTCTCTCCATCTGCTGGTCTTTGTTCACTTTTATCGCTAGTGTCAGGGTAATGTTTTAAATGTGGGTCTCTGTAGAAGGTTTAAAGATCTGGAGTAATTTCTATTGGTCATCTCTAATTGGACACAATAAAATCAGAGGTCATCCTAGTTGGGAGCAATCGAGAAGACTTACTATACCTCATCTCTTTCCTCCAGCACATCCTCCAATACCCTAGACTGGCCAAAATCTTAAAAGAGCTGAGAGTCTTCAGAGAATTAAATAACAATGCACAGGGAGCAGGCAGGCTGGAGGCTGACCAGGCTACTCCTTGGGAGGGTCTAGGGAACAGAATTCATAAATCTGAGCCCAGGCAGAGGCTGCGCACCCTCCCACCAGGACCCTCAATAACAGAAGCCCCTCAAAACAGGATCCCCATTCATCCCGCTCGAGGTGCTGCCCGACACCACTTCATTCCTGACCCACTCACCTCGGCAGAATTAAAGTGCACAGCTAGGAACACATACCTGAAAAGTTCCTGGACACAAGCATGGTCGTGAGGATGGCACCCTGGGGAAAAGGGAGGAGAGTGCCGTGAGTTCATCTGCACTCGAGGACTGGCTAGCCTGGCTCGGGCAAAGGCAGCCCTGGCCAGATCTGGAATGCGGTAGCTTTCCGGCAATGCTCCCACACAGCTTCCTAGCCTCACTCAGGCTGAGAGGGGAGCTTCCTCCTGTGATGGGGCAGAGCTCCACTGCAAGCAGCAAGGCTCACCTTCAGTTTCCTCCGGGCGTTGAACTTGCGCAAGCACTCCACAGTCTCTTGACGATGCATCATAGAGGCCACGGTGGATCGTTGCTGGAAGCCAGAGAGACAGGGCCATGAGCCCTCAGCCCATACCCCCTTCCATCCTCACCTTACTCCTGGCCTCTGCACAATTACTCTGAAGGTAAACCGAGGCCACAGACATGAAGACACTTTTAGAATAAAGGCACCGCATAAACCCAAGATTAAGTCAGGACAATCTGAATATGAAAACACCAATAACAGTTACTAAATGATAGTGCTGCAATCTCTGGGCAGAGGAGGTAAGCATGGGAGGGAGAGTGCCATTTGCTGTGAGCCTGGCTCAGTCACTCCGCCTGCAAGTGTTCACTGAGCACCTGCCGCAGCTCAGCGTCTGCACAGTGAAAAGAAAGGCGGGCTCCCCCTCTCCATAGAGAGCACACACTCCCGCCAAGAGCTCTTCTCAACCTGGCAATCCTAAACGAAGCTATGATCTGAAAAGCTAGATCCTGGCCTTGAAGCATCAGTTCTTTCCATCATTTTGGACAAAAATTCTTCACTGCATTTACTGCTAACTTCCCTGTTTCCTTCCGCAGTCTACCGGAAACGGTCGACATTTCCTTGATGCCTTGAGGTCCCCAAGGAGGCACCAATTATCACGGCATTACTGTATCGGCCTAACAGTGATATCCACGGGGCTGCTGAGGTGGGCTGGCTCAGCACTCCCTAGGCCTCTGCTCTTTTGGCCAGCCAGTCTGTCAGAAGAAATACCAGGACCGCAGCCTGAGGCCCACAGCCCCACTCTCTGCCCCCACGCCCCTTCCTGGCTCCTGAAGCAGTTCTCCCCATCTTTACTTTCCCCAAGTCTCTCCTTCCACAAACTTCCCCACACAGAGAAGCGAGCGCTTGCGATGCACACACTGCCTCCACAGCGGCACTGGCCTATAAGCAGCTCACCCCCCGCCAGCCTAATCACCGTTCCTCAGATCCCGTGGGGGCCTCTGGAGCTGGGCATGGGTGGGCGAGATCTCCTCTGCTCTCGCTGTCAAATCTGTGCTCCTCAACTATGTTCTGAACCCCTTCCTCTAAAGTTCTCCTTAAACAAGATCTTTAACAAATAGTCAGAACTGGAGAATATTATGTCAAGTGAGATAAGCCAGACACCACAAAACAGGCAGCACAAGTTCTCTCTCAGACGTGGAAGTTTAAAGAAGAAAAATGCCCATCTGAAATCAGAGTAATGAGTATGAGGCCTTGCGGTAGTGGAAAAGGAAGCTGCATTTGAACAGCACGTGTTGCACACAGGCCCAAAGGAGGTTGTCGGCCAGGGAGATAGCTCAGTAGAATAAGCACTTGCCTGACAAGCACAAGGTCCTGAGTTCAATTCCCGGTACCGCAAGAAAAAGGGTGGGGGGTTGTCACAAGGAACCCTTTTAATATAGTCAAAAAATATGAATTAACCGAAAATGAAATAAGATAAAGGGGAAAAGCCCCCTGGTCCTGCCTAGCTTCCCTGCCCTGTCCCAAGCCCATTCCATCATCACCCGGCCACAAACAGGCCTGTGTCTCCTGCCACTGCTCCTGTCTGCAAACGACACAATAGTGGGTCTCACTGGTCAGGGCCCACCCACCTTTCTCAGGACCTCACTGTCCCACAATGTCCAACATGGAATGTTTCTGTCCTCTTGTTTCTTAGCATTTTTACCTTCCTCTCCCAGTTCTTTTCTGCCTATGGAAGTTCTTAGCCTCTGTCCCTTGTGGTGACACATGTGAACTTAAATGCTGGTATTTTGTCACCAACCATTTTTGTGAAGCAACACAAACCCACAGGAAGAGTCTGACCAGCACAGGAATAATCCCATCTATTTCTACAGCTTCCACAAAACCTACACAGAAATGACTATACTGCGCACTTCCAATTTTTCACAT